TATATATAAAAATAAATTTGGGGAGTATTGCTATCTTGTCCTCCCATCCATGAACACAGAGTGTCTTTTCCTTTCATTAGGTCTTTTATTTCTTTCAGCAACATTTTATAGTTTTCAGTGTATAAGCCTTGCACTTCCTTGGTTACATTTATTCCTAAGTATTTTATTCATTTGGATGTAATTGTTAATAGAATTGTTCTCTTAATTTCCTTTTCATATTGTGCATTGGCAGTGTATAGATATAAAACCAATTTGTTTGTTGATCTTGTACCCTGCAACTTTACTGAGTTTACTATATCGAATACTCTTTGTGTGTGAATTCTTTAGTATTTTCTACGTATGAGCTCATGTCATCTGAGAATAGGAATAGTTTTGCATCCTTTTTTTCCTAATTTGATCCCTTTTATTTATTTTTCTTGCTTAATTTCTCTGGCTAGAACTTCCAGTACAATGTCTAATAGCAGTGATAAAAGCACTTGTCTTATATCCTGATCTTAGGGGGAAAGCTTTCAGTCATTCACCATTGAGTATACAGTTAGCTGTGGATTTTTCATAAATACCTTTTATCATGTTGAGGAAGTTGCCTTCTATCTCGTTTGCTTAATTTTTTTTTTTAATCATGAAACAGTATTGAGTTTTTTGTTTGAATTTTTTTTTTTTTTTTTTTTTAACATAGGGTCTCTCTCTGTCACCCGGGCTGGAGTGCAGTGGGATGATCACGGCTTACTGTACTTGACCTCCTGGCCTCAAGTGATCCTCCTGCCACAGCCTTTTGAGTAGCTGGGACTGCAGGCATGTGCCATAATGCCTGGTTAATTTTTGTATTTTTTGCAGAGATGAAGTCTCACTATGTGGCCCATGCTCGTCTCAAACTCCTGGGCCCAAAAGATCCTCCCATCTTGGCCTCCCAAAGTGTTGGGATTATAGGCATGAGGCACCACACTTGGCCTTGGATTTTGTCAAATGCTTTTTCTGCATCGATTGAGATGATCATATGCTTTTCTTCCTTCAGTCTATTAATGATATGTTGTTTGATTTTCTTATATTGAAGCAATACTGCATTCGTGGGATAAGTCCCATTTGATCATGGTGTGTAATCCTTTTAATATGCTGTTGGATTCAGTTTGCTAGTGCTTTATTGAGGATTTTTGTATCTGTATTCATAAGAGATATTAGTCTGTAGTTTTCTTACGGTGTCTGTCTGGCTTTGGAATCAAAGTAATGCTGGCCTCTTCTATTTTTTGGGGGAGGAAGAGTTCGAGAAGGATTGGTGTTAATTCTTTAAGTGAGTGGTAGAATTCACCAGTGAAGCCATGTAGTACTGGACTTTTCTTTGTTGGGAAGTTTTGATTACCAAACTCTTGCTTGTTATAGACCTATTTAGATTCTCTTCTTCTTCCTGAATCCATTTTGGTAATTGATATGCCTAGGATTTTGTCCATTTTATCTAGGTTATCTAATTTTTTACATACGGATTGTTCATAATATACTCTTACAATCCTTTTTGTTTTTGTAAAGTTGGTTATAACTTCCCCACTCTTATTTCTGATTTTAATTTTA